GGATCGGCGGGGAGAGCGAGGCGGGGACGGAGGCGGAGGGAGGAGGATGGGAGGGAGGCAGGGCGGCGCGGGAGGCGATGGAGGAAAGCGGGAGGGCGGCTCGCGCCGGCGGGCTTCGCACTCACCCGTGTTGTACACGTGCAGCTCGTCCACGATCCCCTCGTTACCGCCGCCGAACACCACGATGAGCTCCTTGATGGCCACGGCGCGGTGGCCGTGGCGGGGCCGGGGCACGGGGCCCGACCAGCCCACCACCCGCTTCCAGCGGGGCTGCAGGAGCACGGCCGGGGAGCTGGTGGGCGGCACGGCCGAAGCCATGGCTCAGGGAGGACGCGGCGGGAGAGTCGGTGGCGGGAAGGGCGCCCGGGGTCCGCGCACACACCCCCTCGCTATCGGGCAGCGCTCGCGGAGCAGCGGGTCCTCACACGGCGCTGGACGGCTCCATGGAGGCCGCCATCTTAACTACCGTCCGTCCCCGACGCTCTTCCCTGCCTGCTCGCGCGCCCAGTCCCCTCGAGAGCTTGCCGACGCCGGCGGGCGCCCAGGCCCGAGGAGGTGCGGGCCGCCGAGTGCCGTCTCTCTGAGTCTTCGCCCAGGTGTCCCGGCTCACGAGCTCGGGCGGGAGGACCTGGGAGCCGCCATCTTGAGCCGCCTCTCTCTCCTCCCTTCCTCAGTCGTAGCCCTCCCCCGCCGGAAATGGCGGAGCCCCGGCCCGGTTCCCACACCCCCAAGTCCCCAGCACTGGCCGGCTTCCGGGGCGGGTGGAAAGGAGCCACAGGCGCCGCGGTCGTCGTAGCCCCGGGGGCGCTCACACCACAATTGTGGGAGCCGCCATCTTGAGACCGTCCCGCTTCCCCGCCCAGCACTCAGCACGGCTGCCGCTCCCGAAAACGGCCGCGACACTCCAAGAAACGGAGGCGCGCCGGAGGCTTGTGCAAGCAGCTCTAACTCTCCGGCGCCACTTGGGGTCCGCGCCGTACGGCTCGTGAGATCTCGCGCCGCTCCCTTGAGTCCGCCTCTGCTGCTCAGGCAGCGCCTGCCGCCCTGGGAGCCGCCATCTTGAGACTAGCTTCCCCCTTCCCCCCCTATTCTCTTCCTCTTGGGTCAGTTCTTCCACTGCAAACCAAACGCAAGGCAGCGTCCAATCCTCGCCTCCCTTTTTATGACTCCGTCCCACAGGAGCCGCTTCAAAAAGCCCGAGCTAGGCCCAGAAGTGGCTACTGTACGGCAGGAGGAGCAGTAACGGCAGGGCGCTCATGCCTCCTCCCTGGGAGCCGCCATCTTGTGTGAAGAAGTAACAACTAAACATGGCGGCGGTCGGGCGAGGGGGCGGAGCCAGACAACGTCAGCGCTCCCCGCCCTCGCACCGCTTCGTCTCTGGGCCCAAGCCTCTTACAAAAATCTCTGCCCTGCCTCGCGACGAGGGAAGTGGGTAGTGCTGCGCATTCGCCTAAGGCTCGAACCGGGCTCGGGTCAGGTGCAGGCACGCCTCGCCCCAAGGCCCACCCAGGGCTATCCTCCACGCCTCCGCCCTGGGAGCCGCCATCTTGCCACTTCCCCTCGCCCGGCCGTCCACAGGCGTCAATAGCGACTTTCAGCACAAAACAAAAATGGCGGCGGCGGCATCTAGGGATGCCCGGATGAGAATGTTACCCTCCCAACACACACAAACACGCGTTCGGCCCCGCCCCCCCTCGGGAACAGTCTCCTGGGTCGCTTAAGGGACACATGCTAGAGGAGATGCTTTTAACTAGCAATGGGGACAGGGGCACCGGTGCTAAGGTGCAGAGAACAAACACTACAGTAGTGCCTGCGGACGAGGAGTAGCCGCTTTCCCGCCTAGCACGGTCAGCAGCCGTAGGAGGCGGGCGGTGAGGCAGCTGTGGGCGGGGCGAGAATGGGCGGTGACGCAACTAAGCGCACGCGCTGGGGGGCGGGGCCGCCACCCGCTCCCAGGCTCTGCTGGCTCCGCCCCCGGGCGCCACCACCTTCTCCCGCGCAGTGGCGAACTCTGCCGGGAGGTCTCACGACCGGGACCCCGCGCGCCAGACCGTCCCGGACGACCCTCCTTCCCTCCCCGTCCCGCCGGCTTCAGGGCGGGTAACCGGGATAGCGGCGCCAGACCCAAGCGGGCGGACGCGGGAGCGGCCTGCGTCACTCGCATCAGCCCGCCCCGCCTGCTTCCCAGGGCCCGCGCCCCGCCCCTGCGCAGGCGCACTGCCGTTTTTCGGGTCCGCCCTTTTTCAGATTTGAATTTTCCTCAGCCTAGCGAGAGAGTGAAAATACCCGGATGGTAATCGCTGGCCTTTTCGCGCCAACACTAAGTTCTCAAAACCACCTTGCGCAGTGGGGGCTAGCGTCGACCCTCGTCCCCGATCTCTCGGGAGGCGACTCGGGCGTCACCCTCGCTGCCCCACGCAGGCTGTAGGGCAGGGACCCTGCAGTTTGGAACGAGAGTAGGTGATGTTCCCTCCATTCGAGCCTCATTGTATTCTCTAGTCCAAATCAGACGCGGGCAGCACAGCAGAGTATTAGCCATACTTGCGACATTGTCACCAAAGTCAATGCACAGAACGTTTCAGATCTATAGCTGTGCTGCAGGTATTTACAAGCTAACTAAATTACAAGATCTGGGGCCGGGGATATAACAGCGGTCCTAGGGCCTGCCTGGCAAGCGCAAGGTCCTGAGTTCGATTCCCGGTACCTAAATAAATAAATAAATTACAAGATCTACCGACAGCCTAATTTGCTTTGAAATTAATGTGTTCAACCTGCTGGTAGGTCTTGTAGTGTCGGGAAAGAAGCACAGATAATATCACACTTTTTCAAAAATATCCAAATAGGGCTGGGGGTGTAGCTCAGTGCAGAGCTCCTTCCTAGCAAAGCCCTGGGTTCCATCCCCAATGCCAGGGTGTTCCGGAGACAGCAAAAATACTGTGATAATCAGCCGGGTGTGGTGAGGTACCCGTGGAATCGCAGCTACTCAGGAGGTTGAGGGAGGAGGATCAGGAATTCTAGGCCAGCCAGGGCAATTTATCGAGCCCTTTCCTCAGATTTTTTTTTTTTTTTGTACTGGGAATGGAACTCAGGACCTTGTGCTTGCCAGGCAGGCGCCTGTGCCACTGAACTATATCCCCAGCCCTTGAGCCCTTTCCTCAAAATGAAAAGGAGGCCCTAAATTCAGTCCTCAACACCGCAAACAAAAATTTGTAATCATACTGTATTCTTTTTGTTCAGTCGTTTTTTTTTTTTTTTGTGGGGTTTTTTTTGTGTGTGCATTGTTTTGTTTTGTTTTTGAGACAGGTCTCACTGTGTAATTCAGGCCAGCTTTGAACTCACTGTGTAGCCCAGGCTGGCCTCGAACCTGAGGCGATCCTCTTGCCTCAGCCTCCTGAGTGTTGGGATTACAGGCATGTGCCACCACATCCAGCTTGTTTCGTTTTGTTTTGTTTTGAGATAAGATCTCAAAATTCAGGCTGGCCTTGAATTAACTACTTAGCCCAGGCTGGCCTCCAGTTCAAGGATGAGCCTCCTGCTTCAGCCTCCTGAGTGCTAGAACGCCAGGCATGTACCACCACAACTGGCACCTTGTTTCCATGTACTAAATTTATTTGGCAGTGGCAGTTCTTTGTGTTTTAATGTATACAGTTGGAAGCACTCATCTGAGAAATGCCAAAGAGCCGTGCTTATAGGGCTGTACCACTGCCACCAAGTGCCCTGTGTGACCTTGCCCTTGTCAGTCCCTGGCCCTCTCTGACCAAGCCCCTCTCCTGTAAAGTAAGGAAGCAGCTGCTGCTTTCCAGGAGCCCCATCCAGTGGCCGGGATTCAGCGCACCCTGCTTCCAAATATAGGGACCGCTGGGATTTTTCAGAATGACTGGGGCTCGTGGCTGGCCCAGGTTGTGTTCACCTGCCATCCTGTGCCATGTCATGTCCCCTCACCTTGAGAAAGATAGCAAGAGATGGGGTGTGGCCAGGCATGGTGGTGCACGCCTGTCATCGCAGCACTTGGGAGGCTGAGGCAGGAAGATCACCATGAGTTCCAGGCCTGCCTCGGCCACATAGTGAGTTCAACACCAGGCTACACTACAAAGTGAGACCCTGTCTCAAAGAAACAAAAACTAAAGAAAAAAATACCTGAAAAGTAAATTAAAAAATTTAAAGGGGTTGGCGTTGTAGAAAAATTGAATTGTTCAGAGAAAGTTGAGGGCTAGGTCTCTCCTCAGAGCCACCTTGTAGCTTAGATGTCCTAATGGGGCTAGGGTTACCAAAGGGTCACGCGTCAGTGTGTAGGTGACAGGTTTACAAGCCACAAGCCAAGGCCTTGGGCCCTCTGATCACCTCTGGGGCGCCTCTGTGGACCCCGAGACCACATCCTCGCATCTTCATCAGCAAGGCGTCTGCTCTGGAGGGGAAAGCTCATGTCACCCTCTCGTGTCACTCCACACCTGGGCGTGACAGCCTCCAGACCCCGGGGTCTTGGCCCTGCCGCTCACGGCAGCCATGCTGAACGGTAAGGTGGGGCGGAGCAAGGCCCATGCCACAGCCTTCCAGTGGCATACGGCCCTTCTGGGCCCAGAGATCCACCCTGACACAGCCTTGGGCAGGGCCTTCTGCCTGGGGTGAAGAACCTTCTGGAAATTGCAGCAAGGGCCTGCGTGGCCGCCTCAAGGCCAGACCCAAGACTGCAACGCAAGATGGCCCTGCCCGGCAGGCTCCAGGTGACACCCTTGCTCCTGGCTGCGCGTGCTCACAGGAAAAGGATGGTGCTCTCAAGGGCCCACCCAGAGAAGGCAGCAAAGGCCAGGCGGTGCCCGCGCAGGCGCCGAGGTGCCCAGGCACTAGCCCGTGCGCTGCCCACCTGCCATCCAGCATTGGATCCCAGAACCTGTGCCCCTTTTTCCCCACCTCTTGTAGTCTGGTGGCACTGGGGACTGATCCCGGAGCGTTTGCACTGAGTTGTCTGGGCTCTGACACGTAACCCTCCTGCCTCAGCCTGCCAAGTAGCCAGGAGACGAGCAATCTCCAGCTGCAGCCGCTCCCCACAGCCCAGCTGCCACTCTTTCCCACTCAGTGTTTCTCAGCGCTGCGGCTCTGGCCACACAACTTCCTGTCCCTGCTGCTTGTCTCACACAGCTGGGAGCCAGCGGTCGCCACATGGGGCCTTGCCCGCCCGCGCCCTAACGGTTCGGGGCCAGGGCCACCTGCTTAGGGACAAACCGGAAGTGGAGCTGCACCCCAGCCAGCCTGGAAGCAGCCTGGCTGTGCCCGTGCGGGCTTTTTCACTCCAGAAAAACCTGCTTTCTTGGGTTTGCACTAGCGGGGTGGCGCAGGGGAGGGACAACGTCCCCACCGCCGCTCTAGAGGCTGCATCAAGCCAGCCTGTGCCGCTCCCTAAGGCATGCGGGTGCCACTTGCCTGGATCGCTGTCCCTCCTTGCTGCCCCACCCAAGTCTCACACTGGCACCTGTGTGCCCACGTGCCCTCTGATGCACAGACACGCGAGGGTATCTGGTCACCAGCCATAGGACCTGATGACAGTCCTGGTCCCCAGGCGGGTGTGGTCCGGGGTGGGATCCTGGCTGCAGAGCCCAGGGGCCACAGGCTTTCAGGTTGCGCCAGGCAGATGCAGCAAGATGTCCCTGTGAGCTAGCTAAGTCTCGCTCACGTGCAGGCTGCCCAATGCAGCCCCTCTCGGCGGCCTGAGGTTGTCGTCTGTCACAGGAAAAGCAGTGAGCCCAGGCTGTCACTGGCCAGCCAGTGCTGAGGGACGTTAACGTCCAGTGGGTTTTCTTTACAGCTTTTGGGTTTCTCATGTTGCTTAGCACACGTCTGTGCGTGGCCGCATGACACTGTGCATACATCCACTGGCCGTTAAATCAGCGTGTCCTGTGGCTGCTTCGGGCCGAGCCCGCTCGAGGCCCCAAGTTCCAGCCCCAGCACCGAAAAAAGCACTCTTCAAAACCATCACGAAGGACAAATGGCGTCAATGGAGGACCGAGGAAGAGATGCTGGGCTGGGTTAGGTGAGTCGCCAAGCCCAGGAAAACAAAGGAGACCTTGTCCCAGCCCCCGAGGACAGGGATCATCGGCCTGCGAAGGTCACCAAGAAAGCAGATAAGAGGCAGGAGAAAAGCCGGGCGTGGTGGCACATGCCTGTGATCTCAGCACTCAGGAGGCTGAGGCAGGAGGATCATTTTGAGTTTGAGACCAGCCTGGGCTACAAAGTGAGCTCAAAGCCAGCCTGAGCTGCATAGTGAGACCCTATCTCAAAAAGATAAAAAAAAAAAAAAGAGAGACAGGAGAAAACACAGGTGGTGCCTGCCATGGTGGCGAACATCTGTCACCCCAGCACTCGAGAGGGTAAGGCAGGTGGGTTACCACAATTTCAAGGGCAGCCTAGGCAACTGAGCAACTTAGCAAGAACCTGTCTCAAAACAAAGTAAATGAAAAGGACTGGGGATCAAGTTCAGTGCAAAGAATGTGGGTCCGATCCCCAACACTGTAAACAAAAGACACAGCATGTGCCCCAATAGCATGGCTCCAAAGCCTGGCCACCAGGGCCAGTGGC